GGATCCCTACATTTGTATCTTTGGGGTAAATACCCAGTAGTGCAATTGCTGGGTCATAGGGTAGCTCTATTTTCAACTTTTTGAGGAACCTCCATACCGTTTTCCAGAGTGGCTGCACCAGCTTGCATTCTCACCAACAGTGCAGGAGGTCCCCTTTCTCCACATCCTCGCCAACAGGCTAAGATGTTTTCATTACACCGCCTTACTTCTGGAATTCAGCTAGCCTGACACTGCAATGACATCACTTTAGGTACATTAATATAGCAAAACTATTTATTTAAAGTAGGTCAATATTTTATTCAGTGAAGATGTTTTCCATCAACAAATAGCGGAGGGATAATCATGGGTAAAACACTGCTCTAGGTGTATGTGAGATAGAAGGAAATGCACAAGTAGCTCACCAGCTAATTCCAAAACAGATATGAAGACATGAAATATGAAAACTTTAACACAGAAATATTATTGGTGCCTACTGTGTTTCTGGCACTGGGCTAAGAACTAGAGACATGATGGGGTACAAGATTTAGCCATTGCTCTCAAGGAAAATAAGCAACAATCATGAAAAATTAAAAAAAAATTGTTTGGCATGGGAGTAGGAGTGGGGAAGAAGAATATCAACAGATCCATTGGGTTTTGTTTTGTCTGTTTCAATTCTCACTGAATTACATGAGCCTCGTGTTCTACTCAAATTTTAAAGACAGAAATGGTAGGTTTAGCTGAAATATTTATTGAGCACTGACTCAGGCTATATCACACTATCTCAGGATCAGGAACAATTATTTTAGTCAGTTGATCAAAGTATACACAAGGCAAATAGTGATATCATAGCTAGGTTTATTGAGAACTTACCATGTAGGAGCGAGATATGTTACATTGTCTTCTTTATATGCTTCATAACACTCTATGACATAACAAGTCCCCATCTGGAAGATGAGAAAATTGAGGCTTAGAAAGTTAACATAGTCAGTGAGTGGTGGGACCAGGCATTCTGCTTCCAGCCCACACTCTTATCACTGCAGAGTGAGATTATTCCTTGTCCTGAAACACCAGCTCTGCCCTCATGGTGAATTTGGTTTCTGTTGGGGGTAGGTAGTGATTCAGGGAGGCCTCCAGGCTTGGGTAAGAAACGGGGATATGTGTGTGCACACCTTTGTGTCTGAGATGAGTCTACCACTCTGCCATTTTAATTTTTTTTAAAGATTTATTTGAGATCGAGAGAGAGAGAGAGAGAGAGCGTGCGAGCGCATGCACATGCACATGCATGCAGGGGGTGGGGCAGAGGGAGAGAATCTTTAAGCAGACTCCCTGCTGAGCCCAGAGTCTGACTTGGGGCTTGATGTCAAGAGATCATGACCCATGAGATCATAACCTGAGCCAAAACCAAGAGTTGATCGCTCCACCGATTAAGCCACCAAGGCGCCCCACCACTCTGCCATTTTAAATTTAAGCAAAGCTAACAAGCTAGTAAATATCAGCAGCCCGTAACCCCATCCTGTAATGGTGGAGTCAAAACTGACTTTTTGCAGCCTTTTCTTTCCCAAGCAGTCCTTAAGTTTAGTTTGGATAGAAACATGAAAGGATGGGGAGGAGGTACCCAGATGGCCTTTTCATTCCTGAGGAAGGTACACTTGCAAGGCAGTCTTGATCATAATGGCCTTCACCATGCATCTGCGTCACCATCATTTATTTTTAAGAACTTGTGGAGGAGATCAAAACAAAGCATTTTTGGCCCTGATCAACCAGTTGGAAAACATGGTCTAAGTTCTACAGAGATTCTTGTTCCCTGACTTCTAGAGCAGGGCTTCTCAAAGCTTACTGTGAATGCAAATCACTTGGGGATCATGTTAAAATGTAAACACTGGTTCAGTATGTCTGGGACCCGAGATTCTGCATGTCTAACAAGCTCCCATGTGATGTTGATTCACCTGTCTGCAGATTCTCCTTGGAGGAGCAAGGGTCTAGAGGACAAGGATCGTCATTCTATTGCAGCTGGTCTTGACCACACTTCAGTGTTGTGGCTGTGCGTGAGGAAGAGAGAGTGTGTGTGTGTGTATTTGTGTAGGAATGTGTGTATATATATAGGCTTATGCATATATGTGTGTGTTTGAGTGTATGTTTGTGTCGTGGAAATAACTGAAGAACAGACAAAAGCTATTCAGAGCTTGCTCTAGCAAGAGTCAGCCACTAACACTTGTGTTTGGCAGAAACTCAAAGGCAGGCAGAGGAGTGGGAAACCTTGGAGGGAGAGAAGGGCAGCTTTCAGTATGCTCTGATTGGCGGCTCTTGGCAGGGGGAGACTGGAGGTGGGCTAACAAGCAGCATCCTATATGACTAATTAGGGGTGCATATTTGGCTTTCTCTAGTTGGTCCCGAGTTAGAAGAAAGGAAGACTCTACTTTCCAGCCATCTTCTCCATCCCAATGACTCAGAGTTTAATGGTGACTTTTCCTTTTGTCTCATTGTCCCAGAGGTGTAGTAGTGGGTTTAGGATATTCAACAAGGAGGAGAAATTTCTCAACTCAAATGAAAAGAAGACATTTTCTGAAAATAGTTCAAAGTATGAAGAATGTATCCTGTGGACAAAGGGCGAGATCCTTGGGAAGGGAGCCTATGGTACAGTAAGTTAAATGGGAAACATGATGAAACCCCAAATCCCCACTCCTCCTTGACCCACCCTTTCCTTCCTAATCCTCTCGTGCCCTCCCCACGCTGTAAACTCTTTGACTTGGAACTTTTTCAATTGGAAGTAATAGGAAACCCAACCCAAACTGGCCTGGGGGAAAGGATGTTCACTGGTTCATGTAACTGAAAGGTCTGGAATAGGTGTGGCTCTGGACATAGCTGATTTCAGGGGTCAAACAATGTCACTAGGGTCTGGCCTCTCTGTATGTCTCCTAATAGGTCTCATTCTCAGGGTCTATGTGGTGGGGCAATGGCCAATGTATTTCTAACCTCTCATTCTCCTGGGTCCAAGTCCAGTGGGAGAGATGTCTCACGGTTCAACAGCTCAGGATGTTACCAGAAGTTGGGAGAACCATTGTTGAGTGGCAAAAACAAAAAAATGTTCCTTACAGTTTTTGAATTGCATCAGAGACCATCTAAATTCCTAGCACATTAGATGGTATTTACATAGATTGGTAAAAAGAAGACCGATCCCCAGATAAGACAGGATATTTTTCAGCTGGGGACATATCAGCAAGAAGCTGGAAAGACATGAAACCACTGAAGACACATGATGGGGTCACTGCCAAATTACCCCAGGACCTGCGTTCCTCTCTCTCCTTAGAGCTTTAGCACTGAAATAGGCGTTTCACTTATTTGGTGAGGAGTTTTCCCAATGTAGTCATGTAGATATCTGTGAGGTAAGAATTATCACCTCCATTTTATAGATGAGAAAAACTGAAGTCAGAAAGATTATACAACTTACCCAAAGTTACATACCCGGGGAATGGTGAGGCCAGGATTCTAACCAATCCAGGCCACTTGACTCCAAGCCAATATGATATCCATTCATCATGCTACTCATCCCCATTTTGGCCTCACTGAAACATTGAATTTGCTGAGGTACTTTGCATTTAGGTAGGGATGTGTCAACTTAGAAGAAGACAAGGGTTTGGGAGGAGAAGGGAAAGACGAGCGTCACCTGAGGCATTTTGTGAACAGGTTATATAATTTAAATTTAATAATAAGGTTTGCTTCTAGGTATATTGTGGTCTTACTAGCCAAGGACAGCTAATAGCTGTAAAACAGGTGGCTTTGGATACTTCTGATAAATTAGCTACCGAAAAAGAATACCGGAAACTGCAGGAAGAAGTAGATTTGCTCAAAGCACTGAAACATGTCAACATTGTGGCCTATTTGGGGACATGCTTGGAAGAGAATATTGTAAACATTTTCATGGAGTTTGTCCCTGGTGGCTCAATCTCTAGTATTATAAACCGTTTTGGGCCATTGCCTGAGATGGTGTTCTGTAAATATACAAGACAAATTCTGCAAGGTGTTGCTTATCTCCATGAGAACTGTGTGGTGCATCGAGATATCAAAGGAAATAATGTCATGCTTATGCCAACCGGAATAATAAAGCTAATTGACTTTGGCTGTGCCAAGCGTTTGGCCTGGGCTGGCTTAAATGGCACCCACAGTGACATGCTCAAGTCCATGCATGGGACTCCATATTGGATGGCCCCGGAAGTCATCAATGAGTCTGGCTACGGAAGGAAGTCAGACATCTGGAGCATTGGCTGCACCGTGTTTGAGATGGCCACAGGGAAGCCTCCACTGGCTTCAATGGACAGGATGGCAGCCATGTTTTACATTGGAGCACACCGAGGGCTGATGCCTCCGTTACCAGAACACTTCTCGGAAAACGCAGTGGACTTTGTGCGCGTGTGCCTAACCAGGTAAGAAACTGAACACAGGCGGAGGAGAAATCCGTAGGGAGTCCAAGATTGCTGACATTTCCCCTGCAGCTTATGGCCCACAAAAAAATCAAGCAGGGAGTGATTTTGTACTGAAAGGAATCATGATTAACCACATTGGGTGATTGTGCTCCTCATTGTATCGGGGTAGGGAGGGTAATGCCTCAAGTAGCAAGTGTCTCAATTAAATGTCTTATCAGGGACAGACAAATCGATGGGTGTGTGAACATTGCTAAAGATCTACTTATTTATGAGTGGGACGTCTTCCGAGGGACTGGTCATGGTGCAATGATATCACCTGTGCTTAGGTTCCCCTTTCCTGAGCTGCCTTTCCTCTCAAGGAACCGGTGTTCCCACCTCCTTCCTAAAACCGGCTCTTAGGAAAGTATGTGAGAAAGTCATTCATATTGAGGGATTGATATGAATTGACTGATTGATGACTGACAGATTTAATGTGTCGGTCCCCCCAGAGACGCTGGCATCCAAAATGAGGGGAAACATTTGAGCCTTGGAGCCAAAGGAACAAATCTCTAATTGAAGCATTTCATGCATCAAGTGTGGGGAATAATTGGGGAAGCAGAAAAGTAGCAGAAAGTTGTCTGTTTTTTCCTGTTCTGATGCTCCCTAGTATCTATGGAATAAAATGTTGGGTAAAATGTTAGAAGGGACCTTAGAGATTACCCACTTGTGTGGTTTTCAAACTTTTCTTAGCCAGGCACTCTCTGCTCATATGAATTTCTTTGCTTTTTTTTTTTTTAAAATAGACTTCATGCCTAGCATGGAGCCCAGTGTGGGGTTTGAACTCACAACCCTGAGATCAAGACCTGAGCTGCGATCAAGAGTCAGAATCTTAACTAACTGAGCCACCAGGCACCCCTCATACGAAATTTTAATTCAAAGAATAAAACATAAGAGCAGAGAGATGGCTCTGGTTAAAGTATGTGTGTATGTGTGTATGTATATGGTGAGGGAGAGCTGAAGTGTAGGGTGGGGTGCCGGAGCCCACCCGCCTGGCCTCTATCCACACCTAGTGAGGCTCAACATTTAGTTGTACATGCAGGACGAGGAAGGCGGTCTTGCTTTCAAAGAAGTGTGCATTCTTTTTCCTCGATGAAAAATTCTAGTGCTCCAGCTTTAAGCAAGCATACATGGCAAACTCCAATTCCCGGAATGGGTTCATTTTTTTCTTTCTTAATGAATCTCAAAACCCACAGTTCTCCCTGCCTGCTGACCAATGTGCCTCTCTCTTTCAGACTCTGTCTCTCTTTGCCATCATGTGTACCAGTGTCCTGGTTGATTTCAGGGGATTGCTCAGGACGAGGCAGGAACACATACTCCATGCTCCAGTTCTGGGCATCCTCAGATGTAGACACCATAGGCGTTCCAGTGTGAATTTTGTGGACAGAGCCCCAGGCACAGAGCTGCCCCTTGTTCCCCGCAAAAAACCTCCCACGAGAGACATAAAGGTGTTAGAAACATCATATGAACCAGTACTAGTTTTGGAATTGGCTTAGCTCTTAAGACTACTATAGTTGCTCTGTTCTGAATTGAACGATTATCTATTATTGATCCACAGAAACTACATGCTATTTTCATTTTTCTTTTGAGTTGTCATTATTCATACACACACACACACACACACACAGAGCTTTAAAGAGAAAGGGTGAAATCTTTTTTATGGCTCTCCTTTTGAAACATTGCTTCATGAACTAAGCAATACACAACTCATACCATTAATGATAAATTAATAGGGTTGTTGTGAGAGTTAATGTAAATTGCTTAGCAGAGTATGGGGCACATAATTAGGGCTCCATAGTTATTAAATGTTTGGGAGAATACTAATACATCTGACCTAATTAGCATCATATACAAGCATAAAATTACCTCTTGAAATTCTATGGCAAAGACCCTAAGGACTCTAGAATCTTGCCTTATGACGATATTCCTTGGAGGTGTGGATAGTCAGAAATAAAGTCGGGGGGAGGCACTGCTAAAGATTCAGAAGTACAGATGACTAGGTGTTGACCAGAACAAGGACTGAATAGTTTAGAAATGAACTTTGGGGAGCAATAGGATGTGTGAGTGGGGGTACTCCTACGGGCAGGTTGAAAATCTGGGAAGGGGTGCCTGGGTGGCTCAGTGGGTTAAGCATCTGCCTTTGGCTCAGGTCATGATCCCAGGGTACTGGGATCGAGCCCCACGTCGGGCTCCCTGCTCAGCGGGGAGCCTGCTTCTCCCTCTGCCTGTGGCTCCCCCTGCTTGTGCTCTCTCTGTCAAATAAATAAAATCTTAGAACAAAAAGAAAGTTCTGGGAAGTCAGGCCAAGGCAGTTAGCTTTGTTGCAATAGGCAGCGAAGAGCAGGGGACTGTAAAGAATTTGGGGCAGATCATGCTGTAAATAAACTGGCCTTTGGGAAAGCAAGTCGGATGGCAGTGCATCGAAGGACTTCACACGGAGCTGCTTGAGACTAGAAGGCCAAGCAAGAATCCACAGCTTGGACTTGGATGGTGGTGGAAGCAGTGGGACTATAAAGAGAAGGGTTCCAAAACATTCCAGAGGAAGGTGAATCAGGACTTGGTGATGGGGCATGATGGGACTGCATGGTTTTGAGTATGGATAATGGAAGAAATAATAGAAAGTTGTGAAAGAGGAGCAGGGGAGGGAATTGAAGAGGGCCCACCATTTAAGGAAATTTTCGAAGCTATGGGATTGGAGCTCAGGAAAGCAAATGAGATTGGAGGTCCATCTTTAGAAATCCGAAGGTTGGTAGCTATAGTCATGAACAACTTAAGAGGGCTGAGGAAAATTTTATTGAAAATGCTCAGGGGAGAAGTAACAACAGACATAACATCAAGTCTAGCACGTGGCTGAAGGAAAGGAGGGAGGGAGGGAGGGGAGTTGTCCCAAGGCCGGAGAAGAACCAAGAAAAGTTTCCTCCAAGTCTATGCAGAGATCGTTTTGAAAGGAGGGGGTAGTGAATGCTTCAAATGCTACTGTAGAGATGACAAGGAGGATGAACTCATTACATTTGGTAATGAGAGGATCCTGGTTAATTTTACGAGGGCAATTTCTATAGAGAGGAATGGGCCAAAGGGTAAGGTTTGGGATAATGAATGTTGGAAAAAAACAGAAGTCAATGGGTTTGGCTATGTTAAGGAAAGAATTTTTGGAGAGGAGAGATTTCTGCGTATTTTGAAGACAGGAGAAAGGGCTTCCAAAAATGGAGGTTTTATTTCAAAATAATTTATGGTCACTATATCTTTATGTCCATTTTCATCTGGGCTATCCTGGTAGTTATCCCCTGCACCTCTCCCCATCCCCCCACTGCCTCCATTCCCTGCCACCCAAATTATCAAAAGATAGCCAATTTAGGCAAAATAATGTCTTTGGAATAGGTCATTGCAGATAACTATTGACTGGTTCACGGCTTCATTGTTCACTGTTTATTGGCAAAATTTTAATTTGAGGAAAAATAACCTAAACCAAAATAGTACTAAGTGTATAACTGTCTCCCATTACTTTATGCTCACCCAAGAGTGCCCCAAATGGGATTATTTCAATTAATCACCAAAACACATTTAAATGTCTACATCTTTTATTTTTTATTTTATATATTTTTAAAGATTTTATTTATTTATTTGACAGAGACACAGCGAGAGAGGGAACACAATGCGGGGCTCGATCCCAGGACCCTGGGATCACGACCTGAGCCGAAGGCAGACGCCTAACGACTGAGCCACCCAGGTGCCCCTACATCTTTCATATTTTAAAAGATTTTATTTGAGAGAGAGAGAGAGAGAGAGAGAGGGAGTGCACAAGAGGGGGGGGGAGGGGCAGAGGACAAGGGAGAAGCAGGTTCCCTGCTGAGCGCAGGGCCTAACATGGGGCTCGGAGATCATGACCTGAGCTGAAAGTGGTCGCTTAACCGAATGAACCACCCAGGTGCCCCTTCCTAAAGGCTTTTTAAAAAAAAGATCTTAGATTTTATTTATTTTGAGAAAGAGAGAGAGAGAGGGAGAAAGAGTGGGGGAAGGGGCAGAGGGAGAGAGAGAATCTCAACCAGACTCCTCACTCAGCGCAGAGTCCAACACAGGGCTCGATCTCATGACCCTGAGAACATAACCTGAGCCAAAATCAAGAGTCAGATGCTTAACCAACTGAGCCACCCCCTTAAAGGATTTTCAGTTCTGGATTCCAGTGCCTCTAAGTTTTAAAAGTAAATTTAATGCTAGTTAAAAGTGCATTAAATTGTACATCTACAAGTGTGGGTCTTACTGTATGAATTACACCCCAAACTGAACAAAAGTACAATGGGAAAGTAGGGCCTAGTTTTTAATAATAGTGACTACTTTCTGAACTATCACTATGTGCCAGACACTGTTCAAAACTTGTATATACATTATTTCTCTCAAGGAGTTAGGTGTTATTGTTATCCCCATTTTACTGATAAGAAGAGTTTAGGTCACTGACCTAAGCTCACACAGCTAAAGGCTTAAGTGTGGACTCAAATCTGTTTGGCCAAGATTGTACATCCATTTTTATTTAAAAAAAATTTTTTTTTTAAGATTTTATTTATTTATTTGACAGAGAGAGAATGAGAGAGAGAGCACATGAGAGTGGGGAGGGTCAGAGGGAGAAGCAGGCTCCCTGCCGAGCAGGGAGCCCGATGCGGGACTCGATCCAGGGACTCCAGGATCATGACCTGAGCCGAAGGCAGTCGCTTAACCAACTGAGCCACCCAGGCGCCCCTATTTTAAAATTTTTTAAAGATATATTTATTTTAGAGGGTGCACGCACATAAGCAGGGGTGGGGGAGGGGCAGAGGGAGAGGGAGAGGGAAAGAGAGAATCTTTAAGCAGACTTCCCACTAAGTGCCGAGTCTGACGTGGGGCTTGATCCCAGGACTGAGATCATGACCTGAGCCGAAATCAAGTCGGTCACTTAACCAACTGAACCACCCAAGTGCCCCTGTACTTCCATTTTTAAAGTTGGCATTTTGAGTCAAGTAGATCCAGTTGGGAGGCACTAATGGGGTGCTGTTTCTAAATTGTTTTTCCCTTCTTAGGGACCAGCATGAGCGACCTTCTGCCACCCAGCTCCTGAAGCACTCCTTCTTGATAAGAAGTCACTGAATGTACGTCCACTTTTCTCTCCAGTTCCTTTACAGGCACTGTGATTGCTTCACTGTGGGAATGATGGTTAAGGGACCTTTGTTTTCCTACTACTGAGTCAACTCAACCCAATTTAACCAGATCCTGCAGTGTCGCTAACTAGTACGTTTGCTACGTATTAGCCTCCTCAAGCTTCAGGCATGGTTACACATGTATATGAGAACATTTTCTTCAACGTAACAACAAAAAACCTATTCCAGTGTTTACAGCTTTGGACTGTCCAAGAATTACAATCTCTATTCCTTTGTAGGATTCTACCTTTTAGTTTTGGCCTATCAATTTTAATGTCCTTAACTTAAATTGTAAAAACAAAAAAAATTGTTTTGGCTTGGTGGGTAAAGACATTTATTTCTGGGAAAGGAAATGAAAGGAAGGTGAGAAATTAAAAACTAGAGAGATGCTAGATTCTGTTTACTTTGGCAGCAATCTTAACTTTGCAGACTACAGGAGCCTCAAAGTTAACAGGAAGAGCTAAGGGCCTTGGCATTTCATTATCAGAGGGTCCCCTAAGTTTCCACCTACAAGAAGCTGTACTGTTCAAGGTGGCTCCATACACCTCAGGCTGCTTTCCCTGTAATTTATAGTATGACTTGAAGACTTCACTTATTTGCAGGGTGCATTAAGTCATGGCACATCTAGAACTAGCTAAACCTAAGCCTGCTAGTAGGACAAAAGCTAGATCTGATCAAGGGGAGTGGGTCAGCATATAAATTTTTTCAGGGCTCATTTCACCTGAATGAAGGACATCCCCAGTGAGGTCACTTTTTTTTTTAAGGATTTATTTATTTGAGAGAAAGAGCGATAGAGCAAGCAGGGGGAGGGGCAGAGGGAGAGAAAGAATCCTCAAGCGGACTCCTGGCTGAGTGCAAAGCCCGACATCAGGATCCTGAGATCATAACCTGAGCCTAAATCAAGAGTCAGACGCCCAACCGAGTCACCCAGGTACCCCCTGAGGTCACTCTTCATTTCTAGAACATTGATAAACCTCATCAGAAAAAGTGGACAAGTTGTCAGAATTATTACAATGCCTTGTTTTAAGTTTGTGGAAGAAGCATTGTTAATTAAGGTTTCTACTGCTGATTCCACTCATCTACTAAATTTCATTGACACCTATTGTTTTGAGCTATTTCTATAGAATCTTTTTACTGGCTGCTATCATTTCAAAGTGGCACAATTACAAACTAACTTCAGATGTATTCTAACACCAGTTGTCAGGCTTTGTCAAAATCAAGCTGGTTCTTCAGAAGTTTTTGGGAAGCAACTGAAATGCAGTCAAGCTGAGATAAAAGATTTTACTTTGGCCGACATGCTTAGATACGTCTTTCTGGGTATACCTTCCTTCTTTGTAATTTGTACAGTTTTCTCATATTTGATAATTTAAGAGCTACGTCCCTCATTTACTTGTATATCAGCATAATCTGACAAAATGAAGTATTTTGTTAAAGTGGTTTTTAAAAAATGTTAGTTGGGGGGCGCCTTGGTGGCTCAGTTGGTTAAGCAACTGCCTTTGGCTCGGGTCATGACCCTGGAGTCCC